TTCTTTTTTATGGCTAAGTAATATTCCATTGTATATATGTACCACATCTCCTTCTTCCATTCATCTGTTGATGGATACTTAGGTTGCTTCTATGTCTTGGCTATTATAAATGGTGCTGTTATGACCATTGGGGTGCATGTATCTTTTCAAATGAGAGCTTTCTCCGGGTATATGCCCAGGAGTGGGATTGTAGTATCATAATATAACTTTATTTTTTTAAGGAACGTCCATACAGCTCTCTGTAATGGCTGTACCAATTTACATTCCTCCCACAGTGTAGGAGGGCTCCCTTTTCTCCACACCCTCTCTAGCATTTATTATTTGTAGACTTTTTAATGATGGCCAGTCTGACTGGTGTGAGGTGGTACCTCACCGTAGTTTTGATTTGCATTTCTCTAATAATTAGGAGTGTTGAGCATCTTTTCATGTGCCTGTTGGCTATTTGGATGTCTTCTTTGGAAAAATGTCTATGTAGGTCTTCTGCCCATTTTTTGATTGGGTTGTTTATTCTTTTGATATTAAGCTGTATGAGCTGTTTGTATATTTTGGAAATTAATCCCTTGTTGGTTGCATCATCTGCAAATATTTTCTCCCATTCTATGGGTTGTCTTTTCGTTTTGTTTATGGTTTCCTTTGCTGTGCAAAAGCTTTTGAGTTTAATTAGGTCCCATTTGTTTATTTTCGTCTTTATTTTCATTACTCTAAGAGATGGACCCAAAAAAATATTGCTGCGATTTATTTTAAAGAGTGTTCTGCCCATTTTTCCTGTAAGAGGCCTTACACTTAGGTCTTTAATACATTTTGAGTCTATTTTTGTATGTTTTGTTAGAGAATGTTCTAATTTCGTTCTTTTACATGTAGCTGTCCAATTTTCCCAGCACTCCTTATTGAAGAGACTGTCTTTTCTCCATCGTATATTCTTTCCTCCTTTGTCATAAATTAATTGATCATAAGTGCATAGGTTTATTTCTGGGCTTTCTATCCTGTTCCATGGATCTATATGTTTGTTTTTGTACTAGTACCATACCGTTTCGATTACCGTAGCTTTGTAATATAGTCTGAAGTCAGGAAGTGTGATTCCTCCAGCTCTGTTCTTCTTTCTCAATTGTTTTGGCTATTTGGGGTCTTTTATGTTTCCATACAAATTTACAGAATTTTTGTTCTAGTTCTGTGAAAAATGCCATTGGTAATTTGAGGGATTGTATTGAATCTGTAGATTGTCTTGGGTAATATAGTTGTTTTGACAATATTGATTTTTCCAATCCAAGAAGAACTTGGTATATCTTTCCATGTGTTTGTATCATCTTCAGTTTCTTTCATCAACATCTTATAGTTTTCAAAAACAGTTCCTTTGCCTCCTTAGGTAGGTTTATTAGTAGGTATTTTTTTTCTTTTTGATGCAGTGGTAAATGGGATTGTTTTGTTAATTTCTCTTTCTGATATTTCATTATCAGTGTATAGAAATGCAACAGATTTCTGTATATTAATTTTGTATCCAGCAACTTCACCATATTCATGGATGAGCTCTAGCAGTTTTCTCGCAGCATCTTCAGGATTTTCTATGTGTAGTATTATGTCATCTGCAAACAGTGACAACTTTACTTCTTCTTTTCCAGTTTGAATTTCTTTTATTTCTTTTTTCTCTCTGATTGTCATGGCTGGGACGTCCAAAACTGTGTTGGATAAAAGTGGCGAGAATGGACATCCTTGTCTTGTTTCTGATCTTAGAGGAAATGCTTTCAGCTTTTCACTATTATGATGTTAGCTATTGGTTTGCCATATATGGCCTTTATTATGTTGAGGCATGTCCCCTCTATGTTCACCTTCTGGAGAGGTTTTTTTTTTCTTATCATAAATGGGTGTTGAATTTTGTTAAAAGCTTTTTCTGCATCTATTGAGATGATCTTTTGGTTTTTACTCTTCAATTTATTCATGTTGTATATCACATTGATCTGCAGGTATTGAAAAATCCTTGTATCCCTGGGATAAATCCCAGTTGATCATGGTGTATGATCGTTTTAATGTATTGTTGAATTCGGTTTGCTAGTATTTTGTTGAGGGTTTTCCTATCTATGTTCATCAGTGATACTCGCCTATCATTTTCCTTTTTAGCAATCTTTTTTTGTCTGCTTTTGGTATCAGGGTGTTGATGGCCTCATTTAATGAATTTGAAACTGTTACTTCCTCTGCAGTTTTTTGGAACAATTTCAGAATGATAGATGTTAACTCTCCTCTAAATGTTTGGTAGTATTCATCTGTGAAGCCATCTGGTCCTGGACTTTTGTTTATTAAGTGTATCTTTTCTTTTGGAAGAGTTTGAGAGGGATTGGTATAAGTTCTTAGTATGTTTGATAGAATTCCCCAGTGAAGCCACCAGTCCTGGACTTCTGTTTGCTGGGAGGTTTATGGGTTTTGTTTGGTTGGTTTTTTTTCTATATAGTTTCTATTTCACTTTTAGTGATCATTCTGTTCAGAGTATTTATTATTTCTTGATTCAGTTTTTGGTGGGCTGTATGTTTCTAGAAACTTGTCCACTCCTTCTAGGTTGTCCAGTTTGTTGGCATATAATTGTTCATAGTATTGTCTTATGGCCTTTTCGTATTTCTGTGGTGTTGGTTATTTCTCCTTTCATTTCTTAATTTGTTTATTTGTGTCCTCTCTCTTTTCTTCTTGGTGAGCCTGGCCAGAAGTTTGTCGATTTTGTTTATCTTTTCAAAAAAGCAGCTCTTGGTTTTATTGACTATTTCTATTGTTTTTTTAACCTCTGAATTTATTTCCTCTCTTATCTTTATTATTTCCTTCCTTTTGCCAACTTTAGGTTTTGTTTGTCCTTTTTTCTTTTAGGTGATTTGAGATTTTTCTTGCTTTTTGAGGACGACCTCTATTGCTGTGAGGTTCTCTCTTAGGACTGCTTTTGCTGCATCCCATAGATTTTGTATGGTTGTGTTTTCATTGTCATTTTTGTCAAGGTATTTTTAAATTTCCTCTTAGATTTCATCGTTGACCCATTGGGTTTTTAGTAGCATGTTACTTAATCTGTATATAATCTCTATATAATCGTGGGGTTTTTTTCTTTTTCTTTTCTCTTCTCATTACTCTTTCTGTGGTTGATTTCTAATTTCATACCATAGTGGTCAGAAAAGATGCTTGAAATAATTTTTTTCTTTACAAATATTAAAAATGTGATTTTTAATAATGTAAGTACAAAATTTTATTTCTTTATACAACTGTAATGGGATTTGGATCAAACTGCTAGAATTTATTTAAAAGACAAAATAAAACAATGATATAAAAACTGCAAGAAGGTTTGAATCCAAAGGTTTTCCTCTAACAGTACCAAATACCACAAGGAACAGATTATACAAATGTGTACAAATTTTAAATACAAATACAATAGGGTTGGATTTTAAAGGAAAACAAACAAAAATCAGGTCCTCATCAGGACTTTATTAATGTGTACAAATGACAATGGTAGGATTGACTTCTTTCTGTACTAATCCATGTCTCTGAGGCCCTTCCTTGATACTCTATGTCAAACAGGAAACTGACATGGGTACAGAGGAGGCGTGGGACAGGTGCTAACACACAAACTCAAACCAGGATTTCTGCTCTTCGTGATTTTGGTTCCCAAACATTCCTGTTTCCTTCTGTTTCCCCAGTTAAATCTCAAAACTGCTGTGAGGTGAGAATGGCATTCAGCAGCCAGAATACCTTTAAGAAAAACAGCCCTGTGACCACACTGGTGGGAAGAAAGGAAGGAATTAAATAGGATGCAGGATGGCGGCACTTTCCTCAAAGATCTACTTTGATACTGCGGTGCTCCATCCAGGCCAAGGGAAGAAAGCAGTCACCTCAGAGTCTGGTTTTGACGTGGACTCTCAAACCCAATTTAAAAACAACCCTGAAGCCCTCAACTGTTTTCTTTGGAACTGGGAAGCAAAAATCTGGTTCTTTGGAAATAAGGGCAGCTGGGAATGGTAACATTCCTTTTTATTTAGTTTCTTGACACTGTTCAGTTGTAAAGAACTAGAATCCCAATATGATTCCTTTCCGAGGCACCGTACCTGAACGTGTAGATGATTTGGAGTTTGCAGAGGAGACCAGAGGAAGGAGGGGAGGAAGAAATGACAAATCTGTATCTTCCATATGCTGTTGCTGGTGGAGGCTCTTGTTTTTAAATTATATATACAGAAATTTACAGGATAAATTAAAATCTAAGAGAGTTTAAAGAGTTAAATATACATAATTAAAACACATCCACACATGCACATAAACAAACCTACATGAGAATAGAGTACTTTTTTCGCAATTTGCTTAAGTGTGGAATGCAGAACACTGTGTATCTGCCCGACAGGGGAGCCAATGAGATGAACCCAGGAATCAGGCTGGGCAAAGCTCACCTTCCACACCCACCAAGCAACTAAGCAGCAGAACTGTGAGCTAAGCTGACGCTGCCAATGGAAGATAACAGCTCTTAGCTCTGCAGACCAAATGCTGTGGGTCAGCTCACAATATAGTCCATTCAGCTGGTGGCATTAACGGCCTTACCCTCTCCAGGGCTCACAAATCTCCTTGGCTCTGACTGAGGCTGCCAATGGTACCAATGATTACAATAAGTTTTGAGACATGGACGCTGGTAGAGCAGGAATTGGGATGAAGCCCCCTACTAAGTTCACTTAAGCCATCGCAACAACTTTCAGATAGGAATGATGTTATCATCTCCCACCTAGGTCACTTCAAGTTGTAAAGCTTTGTACTTTCAGTTAACTAACGTCTTCCCATAATCTTTCCCATTGCATTTCAGACTGTAAGACAGGTAAGGCAAATGGTCAGTGATGGGTCTGGAGGTACAATTGAGTTTGGAAAAAAATCACATTTTGGCTGACCTTAAAGCGATGCACTTGACATCCAGAACAAGCCTCCAGCCCCCAAGTTACATTGGTTTTTAAGGCAGATTCATCCACCACAGGAGAAGAAATAATCCCAAGCCCATATTCATACCAAGGTTTCCTCTTGGCTAAACCTTTGCCATTTCATAAAATTATTAAAAGCAAAGTAGTTACAGTCCTATGTATATATTATACATTATACATATATATATATACACATTATGCATATATGTAAAAATTTAAAATCTACACCCAGAGGCCAGTGAAGGGATCTGCAACCGTCACATATACACAAGCCAGCAACAGGCAAGATAAGGTTTCTGTCCCAGGAGTCTGCTGTCACGGTCCAGGCATGATGTAAGCAATGTGGTACAGCGTGTTTGACAAGACCTGTTTGGGACAGCCATTCACCTCAGGTAGTCGTGTGGTCACACACGCTAAGGGGCCAAGCACACAGATGATGGAATCCAGAAGCACTGACAGATTGCCAGACACAGCCACCATGCCCTGGGTTTCCTGCAGGTGGTGTCCAGTGAGGCTCAGGGACTCTCCCAACAGCTGGAGATGAGCGGCCACATCGACAGGCTCTGTCCCGGGGGCTTTGTCTGGCGAGGCGGGTAATAATAGCATGTTGGTGGGTGCGGATTTCTTCGGGGCGACAGTACTCCTGCAGAGGAAGCTTTCACTTTCATGGAACCTTCTGAGCTGGATGCTTTTCTTTTCACAGTTGTAGCTTCTGCTTTGTTCTGTTTGTGTTGCAGATGCTGAGGGTTTTGCTTCCAAATCAGTTTGTCCTTTTCTGGCAGTTGCTTCCACACCTCAGCCAGTTTTTTGGGGTTTTTTGTGGGGTTTTTTTGCGGTACGCGGGCCTCTCACTGTTGTGGCCTCTCCCGTTGCGGAGCACACGCTCCGGACGCGCAGGCTCAGTGGCCGTGGCTCACGGGCCCAGCCGCTCCGCAGCATGTGGGATCTTCCCAGACCAGGGCACGAACCCGTGTCCCCTGCATCGGCAGGCGGACTCTCAACCACTGCGCCACCAGGGAAGCCCCTCAGCCAGTTTTTTACGCAGTTTCCCAAAATCTATGCCTAGATGGTCAAAGGTTACACGATACTCCTTAAAGAACACCTGGTAGGCCGACATGTTCTTTTTTGGCTTTTCTTCTCTCTCTCTTTGTCCTTCTCTCTTTTTTTTCTCACTGTGCCTATCCGTGTGGAGGCCAGGAAACGGTGGGGGAGGGGCGGCTGCTCCAGTGTACGGGATGCTGGGCGGAGGGCCGGGCGGCGCTGGGACCTCTCCCGCTGGTGCAGCAGGAAGTCCCGACCTTCTCTTGGACTTGGAGTGTCGCTTCTCTTTATGCTTCTCCTTGTCCTTTTTTTTTTTTTTTTTTTTTTTTTG